AAACGCCGCCCGCACTTATAAGCTGCCCCAAACAGACCCTAAACTTTGACTTTATAAGACTTTTCAATAAGTTCTAATCTGCAATTCTATTATTCAGAAAGCATTTTTGTCCGCTTTCTAATCTTTTTTTGAAGATACCTGTTGATGATAATTCAAATAAAACTTTAAAATTGTTAAATCCAACCGTTATACATGTTAGAGAATAATACAATTAAAACAATCTAGCAGCTATAATACAATAGAGAGCAATCTAATAAATATAATACAATATATTTAAATATAACACGGCTGACTTTAAGGATGTGGTACTTGAATTGTTAAACACATTATGAGTGACTGGAGGCTCCTATAATAACCTTTGGTCATTCCTTTATAGATATATATATATTTGAATTATTCTTTAAAAAAAAATGTTGATGCATAGAATTGCACTTTGTTGGTGTTATATTATTATTTAAAATATTTTATTTGATTGATTATTTATATTTAAATTTTTCCGTGATATGGTTGGTAAAAAATTTAGCTATTTTTGGAAGGAAAATTAGTATTAGGGAGACCAAAATATAATTTCTCATGGATTTCCAATTGAAGGATTATAGATTTGAAAGGAGTGTCGGCTATTTTTTTTTTAAAAAAAATCACTTGGTGGTTTTTTTTGTTTGGAAGTTTGGGCATGAATGTTTGACTTTGTCGCACCACAACATTTCGCAGTGTTCTCTTGGCTCAATATGTGTGCAAGTTGTGAGAGGATGTCTCCATGCTCAACCAAAAGATAAAAGCTCTTCTAGAGCAGACTGGCTCTATCATGGCTTTGCTCAACCACATCGAGCAAAAGTAAGAAATGCTAGCTCTGTTGCATGTGGAACCCTATGAGAGGTGGGATATGGTGCTTTAGCATTCTCCTCGTGACCGTAGTCCAGGGAGAAGGACAAGCTGGACATCAAACGACAACATCGCAAGAGGTGGATGGCTACCTGATGCTTAACAGTTGTGTGATGACTCAACCCCTTTCTATTTTATTGGCAATATTATGTATTGTCCTTCGTCTGTCTAGTATATATATATATATTTGAAGTTGGATCTATGTTGTTCTATATTGTATATATTTAATCTTTGCTATATACAAGTCATGGAGCATTACCAAACTAAATGTGTATGTACTACTTAAATTTCCTTAAAACTTTACAAAAAATAATTACAAACAGACCACCTGAAGCATTGGTATTTAATGTGATTTTTTTAAACTACCGAACTGTTGTATTTCTGCACGTCACATTCAAACTATTGAGAATTTGATAAAAAAAATAATAATAAGTAAATATTAATTGAGATTTTAACATGAATTTTGATATTTGAGTGAGAATTTGAAAATGGATGAATGAGAGCGGTTGATTTGTAAATAGCAACAAGTTTAGGGTGCATTGTATGTAATTGACCCCAGCTTAAAAAGGCTTATTTAGGGTAGATTTTAGAATATCTTCTATGTTTTCCCTCTTTCACTTCAACTCATGCCATTTATAAACTAATAAAATTTTCAACTTATTGTCTAGCTTCGTTGGTTGTGTATTTAGCAATTAAAGTCACAATGAGCTTTTATTACTCATTTTTTATTATTGTAGCTATGAAGTTATCTACCAATTGTGTTATTCAAGGCTTGAAAAAATGATAATCAATTCCCATCAATTGGGAAGGAGAAAAATTGTGATATCTTTTTTAAGAAAAAAATTTAGCTATTTTTGGAAGGAAAATTAGTATTAGGGAGACCAAAATATAATTTCTCATGGATTTCCAATTGAAGGATTATAGATTTGAAAGGAGTGTCGGCTATTTTTTTTTTAAAAAAAATCACTTGGTGGTTTTTTTTGTTTGGAAGTTTGGGCATGAATGTTTGACTTTGTCGCACCACAACATTTCGCAGTGTTCTCTTGGCTCAATATGTGTGCAAGTTGTGAGAGGATGTCTCCATGCTCAACCAAAAGATAAAAACTCTTCTAGAGCAGACTGGCTCTATCTTGGCTTTGCTCGACCACATCGAGCAAAAGTAAGAAATGCTAGCTCTGTTGCATGTGGAACCCTATGAGAGGTGGGATATGGTGCTTTAGCATTCTCCTCGTGACCGTAGTCCAGGGAGAAGGACAAGCTGGACATCAAACGACAATATTGCAAGAGGTGGATGGCTACCTGAGGTTTAACGGTCGTGTGATGTCTCATCCCCTTACTATTTTATTGTCAATATTATGCATTGCCCTTCGTCTGTCTGGATGTGAGCATGTGTTGTATTCATCATCCCTAAAT